GAAATTGCAATAAGGGTCGGACGGAGAGCTGCTCGACGGTATCATTTGGCGCGATAAATCCGCCGACCGATTCGCGTTGGAGCGTGCGGCCGACGGCGACGCCGCTATCCGCCGCCGTGATCAGCGGCCGCGGCGCGGCGCGAGCGCGGCGTGCAGTTGCAGCTTGCAGCTGCGGCCCAAGTGCGCGCGTTAAGCACGCTTTCTGGATCGCGCTCGCAAATTTATATCCGCATCGCTCTCGGATGTGTGTGATAAACGAGAAAATCGCTCGCATTTTTGAGATACGCCGCGCCGCTTGCGGTTTCGAGCATAAACTCGTCTCTCCGCGAGAGCAGGAAGCCCTAGGGTTAATTAATATATCTTTAAAGGATAGTTAATCGTTCTCTTTGCGTTACGGTATGCGTAATTGCACCGTTACGGTTGTCTCGCACTTTATGCGGACAGAATATAGCGCTATATTAGCATTCCCGTCGTGTCGCTATTTTTAGTACGCTCGCGCGCGTCGCTTCAGCGGCAATTTAATCATACTTATGTAGACCATTGCATGTCTGGATTATGAGATACCGTCGATAATTTAATAGAATCGACCCGTTAATGGCTACCCATCACTTTTATCCAAACGATGCGTCAATCTCGAAAACCCGCGGACGAGCTTGTCCCGGGTAAATGCTCCGGAGCACGCAATTCGGCGACGCAACGTCGCGCCTTTCCCTCGGACCATTACTTTCACGTGGCGCGTCGATGAGAACTTGCTTCATTAAATCAGCCAAAAATCATCGGCCGCGCCTTCCGGCCGAATTTCCGTTCCTCGAACAAGTCTCGAGGTGGTCTCGAAGTAGGTGGTATTACGGCGCGTCGACGTATAATGCGATCTCGAATTTAAGACCATTTAAGAAAAATTACGGCCGTCGTTTGCGAGCACCGCGAGACTTTTTATTCGCAATAATTGCAAAACATCACGAATCCCTTTGGCGTTATTAACGTAAAAACCACAACAAGGTTATCGATTGTATGCCGGTACATTTCACGCTTTCATCGCGTCTTCATCAGCACCATTAAATCCTCGTATACAACATCGCCGACGGTCGTGTATACCCCGTATTCGAAGTTTCATCATCGTGCTTTGAAAGAGGCTGCATTGCAACGGTAATAATCTTCGATCGGCGGGCAACGACAGAATCCTCGTGCTTAAATGTGTATATTATACATGCGAAAATGGGTTCTGCTCGCTCATACAATACTGTATTCATTGTAAAACTAATCTTAGATGGTCTTTAAATTAAACAACCTTCTTATAATTACCAAAATTCTATTAGAATTGCATATCACAATATTCTTCATCATCTAATATTAATTTGGAATTAATGTGTTCTACTTGTCATGATCATCCTAAACATTTTATTGTATTAACACTGTTTTATGAACAAACGGAAATATATAGAGCCTGTTTAATAAATTTATTTTACAGTTCCAGTACTTTTAAATGCTGTTCTGTTTGCGCTTGTATATTACAAGCAATTAAATGCATTTCAACTGCCCGAGGTGATAGATTAGCCGTCATTGATAGAACGCGCGGGCCGATTCAAGTATAATAAGCGAGAATCGCTCAAATAAAAATGATTTATACCAGGCGCGATGTGTCAACGAGATAGCGACGACGTGGATTGAATTCAGATGAGGCTTCCCGCACGGCCCTAAGAAATTATACCCGGTGTCCTTCGTGGAATCTCGCTCGTGATGATCCTAAATTAGCCCGATCGCCGATCTTGATCGCGTCATTATCGCGGTACACTTGTTCGTAAAGATGAGATAGTAGCGTTTTATAATTCGTTACGATCGTTATATATTTTTTCAGATTTTATCGTGAACATGTAGTGAAGTTTTTGCCCTCTTTACACGACATTAGTAATGAGCGAAATACACAGCTTTATGAAAGAGTGAAGGAGTTATATTGCAAAATATAGCTTGAAATGTTTGAGTTACTAAAATCACGAGATTTTAGTTGATTAAATCTCTAACTATCTCAAGCTTACACGAATGATAATTTAGTAACGCACTCCGCGACGTTGATATATTTATCTCCTCTAATTCTCTCTCGGGTGAAAAAATACAAATGTAAATTTGCTCAGAGGTATCAGTTCTGTCTTATAAAATACAAGATACACAGCGTACAAATAACATGACACGTGACATGTTTTGCAAATGCCGGAGCGGTCGTTCCAGCCGGCGAGGTGAACGAACATTCCGCCAGTCAAATTACGTTAAAACCCAGCCCAAACGCGCGTTCACGTATCGCCCCGCGTAGACAAATAATTATACCCCAGAAATTCTAATTAAGCCGATAATCTAACGGCTGTGATTGGTGTGCGATTGCGTTAGCGTAGAAACGCTGTCATCGGAGAAAGACGTAGAGCGTGACAGGGGCCTAAGGCGCAAACAGGCGCAAAGTGCATTGGCCACATTCGCGTCCCGCGGCGGCGCGGCGCACGGAATGCCGGATCAAAGCGGACGATTCGAGAGAGGGAGATAAAGAGAGAGAGAGAGAGGAAAAAACCGAGGACCCAGACACACGGGGCGAAAAATAAACCGCCGCGAAATTCTGCGTACACGCACGCGGCGCTACCGGATACGCATCTCGATGGAGAGAGACCCATTAAGTGCCCCTCCTCGTATCAAGGACCCATCCCTCGCTCCCCTGTTTTGCGGCCGTGTTTCACCGCGCGTTTCTTTCTCGCGAATTCTTTCTCGCGTTTCGCTCTTCGACGTGACATAGCGATTGTCGGTGCATGATATAAGGTAGCGGGAGATCTCTCGGCTGTGCAAACCGGACGCGAATGAGCGCGTCGAGTGGCGCCGTAGGAAATATCAGCCGGGGCTCTCTTGGTTGATCCGCGTCGAATACACGGATCTCTTGGGAACGTGCTGTTCTTGTCGGCGCACCACTCCTGGTCGTGATGTTAATCCTCCGCTTGTCCGAAGCGAATCTCTTTACTTGTTCTTCTTAAAAACGATTTCCATTTTTACCATGTCTTATAGGTACAAAGAGATCTAAAATATTATAGAAATAATTGTTGTGTGTATGAGACAGAGAAAGAGAGAGAGATGCGTTTTTTAGCTTGTCGTCTTGCAATTATCTTATCAGAAGAAATATGAATTATTGATATCTCGTAATAATTGGATGTTTAACACTTGGAAAACTTCATAATGTTGCGTATCTAAACTTTCATTTTCCCATCGCACTTCCATTCTTTACGAGTAGATTTAGATAAAGTTTTATCGTTCGCAGAAAGTTCGACCCTGGCTCTTCAGTATGTTCTCGATTTTGTTACTTGTATCTACAGCTGGGTTCGCTCCTTTTTATTCTCAACATTGTTACCCAAGTTCGCTGGAGAGCTAAATAAACTTTTTACCATTATTCTCTTTTGCTTTCTTCTTGAATTTCTTTTAGTCGGCGTAAATTCTATTCTCAGAAGTTTTCGTGCTATTAATAGCTAGCTGATGAGATTTTCAGCACGTAAGAGAATTTTTTTACGAGAATATTTAGAATCTGAGGATTACTTTTAGATTTTGGCTATTACTTTTCCATTATTTATTTTTACGTTTCTATAATCATTAAATTAAATCCGTAATATTATATCTTATAGTAAATAGTTCCTGATTTTGTTTAATGAATTGCTGTTAATAAGATATCCACCTCATTTTTCTGTATCTCTACTCAGTCTTTCTACTCAGTTTTTCACAACGCTATGAAATCGTAAAATTGTTTTAAGTATAACTGGAAAGTTATCTTATAAGATCATCATATGACATTCAGCGATTATCATGACATGAAATGTCACCCCATCCTTTCTCTTTCGCACAAGTATTGCGTCAATTTACCACTGATCCGTATTATGTCACGGTTGAGTAATTCGCGCGCTTTAGATGACGTAATCCTTGCGGTAGGTTAGCCCTGTGTCACGAGGTCACTGGGAAAAAAGACTCCGTCGAGGTTGCGCCCCAAGAAAGCGGCCGCAACGCCAACGGGGATCAAGTAATCACGGCGGTCGTAGACTTCCAGAAACCCTTGTTGTGAACTTGCGGTAACTACAACGAATGGGTTTCCAAGAATTACGCTTTTAACAATTGTTGCGTCGGCTGTTGTCACTTAGATTGCGACATCGATTTTGTAGAAAGCTCATTGCGAAAATATTTGTGCTAATTCGATTACTACCGGTTTTATTCAAATATTTCAACGATACATTGCAAAAACATTTACATTAATACTAGGAACACATCAATATACGATAAAATGTTAATATATTTCCTGTTATACAAATTTTATATTGGAATTAGATTTCTAATACTTTGAGAGAAAGTTAAAATGAGGAATTTGTATCAAATTACTATCGTTTCCCTGCTAATGATCAAGTTATAAGTTTATTTTACTTCATTATAAATACATCATAATATCTTAGAAACTGATCGAGCAATTAGCTCTAAATGGCGTGATGCGTTGGTAGAGAGAGGAATGTATGTAATGGATGATTCCTTAACTCCCTCGTCGCAATTCGTACTCAAGAGCAGCGTCAGTCAACAATTTATGGCTGGCGGTTGTTCCTCTAACAAGCTCCTCGATTTCCCGCTCGCGGAATTATAGTTCACGCGGGTGCCCGCAGATATTCCAACCATAAGAAGAATCCGAGAAGAGAATTTATTTGCGGTTTTACTCTTGTTAGCGACTTTACGCGAATACTCTCATTACCATTCAAACCTACAACGTTTTACTTAAGTAATAATATTTATTATGAAAAAGCACAGTCCAAATAAATTATTGCAATTCAGCTCTACTTAATAATATAATTAAAGTAATAGAAACAATATAACAAAAATATAAGATTGGTAATGGAATTAAAATATACAAAGTATATATTCAGTAAAATTGAAAACGTCATACTAAAATATTTTCTTTTCAATTGCTATTATTGTTTCACTATATTTGGACGCATGTTTCTCTCCAGAAGGCCGTGAGACTCCACTGTCACCACCACCTCCCTCGAGCTCTTCGGTTCAGACTTCACCTCGTGGCTTGGGTTATACCTGTGGCCCTATAGATGGGTCCTTGTACGCCGTGGTACATCAAAGCGCTGCAGGAGGTGCTCGCGGCTCGCCATTGACGGTTTCTATGGACAGTGGCATAAGTAGTGCACCGCCACAGAGACCCAGCCCGCCAGAACCAGAGCCGGAAAGTCAGGCTCACGGAGACCTCGATAAACTTCTTCATGATATGATGCTTACTGTCGAGGTAACAAAGTTTGCCAATTACGCGTATGCATAGATAATTGCATTTAAAGCCCCTTGTACAATAAGCGATAGCGACAGCGACAGCGACAAAGTTGCCGACAAAGGTACATAGCTTTGTCGGCAACCTTCTCGCTGTTGCTATCGCTATCGCTATCGCCTACTGTGAAAGGGGCTTAAGATTAATATGCAAAAAAAACTAAGAATTAATTGAAAAAATATCCACTATTTACATTATACTATGAAATTTCTCTACAGTCTATGCCAGATCCTCCGACAGATGATTACAATCGCGATCGAAGTGAGAAGATGTACATCCAAGAATCACGCAGTTACAGCAGTCACGGCAGCAGTCACCCAACGTCCACTTATTCCACTTTGAAGGATTCCTACAGGAGTTACGGGGCCGGTAAAGAATCGAGTCCGCCCTACAATTCGAGCAGCAGCTATAGTACCCTGAAAAACGAGTACAGAGATTCGTCGAAGAGCATCGAGCATCGCGATTACGAGTATCGCATGTCTCCGGATCGGAAGATATCCGAATCCTCCAACGACTCCTACAGGAAACACGCGGACTCCTTCTCGCCGCCTGGGAACATCGACTTCATCGACGAGGACATCCCGTATCACGCCAGGCAGACCAGTCAGCCATTCTCGTACGGTGCCACTACCGACATGATAAAACATCAGAAATTGTCGTCGCCCTCGTTAGTGAGGAAAGCGTCCGTGCGAGGTGTCGCGCCCGTCGTAGATTTCGAGGACATTCTTGGCGAGAATTCTAGAAGACCCATCAGCCCCCTTAGTCCCAATACTCCGGATCCGCCGCCGGAATTCGCAAACGGTCCCGTAAAGAGTGGAGCTGATCACATCGATGGGTAAGTGACACTCTTCATCTTATAAACATTATACAAAAATTGCTCTTTTTATATTGTTAAAAATTGTAAAATATATTAGGTTGATTCATAAATAAATTCCGCTGTGAATTACTGAATCACTTCTTCTGGGAAGCCAGTATTACTCACGGTATTTAATTATTTTATCTGTTGCAAGTAGTTAAAAATGTGTCATTTACGATTTTCAGTACTTATGTTGTTTTTTAAATATAAATAAGTTTTTTTAATATAAAGATTCAATTTATTATGTAAAACGAAACTTGTTTATGAATCAACCTAGTGTTAAAAATAGCGAAAATATGTATAGTGAGAGCGTTGAGATATTTTCGTTCTGCTAATTATATCTGAAATTATGTCACGCTTACGAAGCTTTATTTTCTCTGCAATATATTAACTACTCCCTTTTACCATTCTCTTTCAACATTTTCAAGAGAAATTATCCCTTCCACATCTCGCGATACACGATACTTTACTGATTTCGTGCGAAAATGGTTTTCTCGCGGATAAATGGCGTTGCGAAAGTAGAGATTATACTAAGTTTTCGCGGGGACGACGGCAAGGAAATCGTGGCGAATAGGCCGTACCTCTGGCAGAGTTTCCAGACGACCGTCGGCAGTATGATGTCGCAATGCATCGTCCGAATCGGGCACCGCAAAAGAACTTCGCTTGCGCGCGGAGAGAACGTTTAAGAAAATGAGCAAGCGAGAGAAAGAGAGAGGGAGAAAGGGAGAGTAGAAAGATCCACGAGTTGGCCATGGACAATTAATAAATTGTCGACCCATACGCGGCTACGATGGCGTACCTTTTGCCACGAATGGTAAATGCGGTCGTCGTGAGTCATGTTCCTAATGCGAATAGAGAGATTTAGCGCCGCGAATACATCCCCGTTGACGATCGACAGCGTGAATGATGTGGGATCTCAGGATGCGAATTGCGAAATATAGCCAATGAAGCTGTGCAAAGGATACTACATTAATTTGTTTTAAGAAACGACAGCGAATAAATACAATAAGATTTGATATAAATTTAAAGCTGTTTTATTACTTAGGCTATTACATTTTATTTACAATCCTTTCTAACTGGAAAATCTCTGAATAAAAAATATTTATTATAGAAAAAATTTAATTAATAAATAAAAACAGATCGTGTTAAAAAATTATTCTAACAAAAATCAATTGGCGCAAAAATCTATCCAATTACTTGGTTCAAAATTATTTATTTATAATTTTATTTTTACAACAATTTACTTATATTTCCAATTTTAAAGTTATTACAATAGTTATTTACAAATGGTTATTAAATTTGTATATTCTATTTTTTATGTACATATGTGTATGTATTGGCAGTAAATGGAATAAGAGGAAATGAAATTAACCATCAGATATGCATAATAATGTTTCGAAAGAGACTCGTTTGTTACATTGCGCTGCCGTAAATGTAAAGGCATCCCATAAATGTGCAGTCACTACATAACGCCATTCACCTCGAAGTCATCAACTTTTTTGTACATCCCGAGACTTTCGCGGTCCTGCCTCGCACATTTCACGAATGAGATCCCGCGCGTGAATGGAGGAGAAAGTATGCACGATCGCGTAAAATGAATCTGTTAACCCTGTCCGGTTCGGCACGATTATAAAGTAACACCGGTTCACGTATTTATTTTTTTTATTGCGATAGCATTAAAATGCGTTAAATTAAGATGCCGATGTCGCTGTTGCATGATTTTTTTCTCTTCGGACACGAATAATTTTGCAATTTCCTATAATTCCGGAAAATTCTCTTACATTAAATTATATTTTATTTAATATACATATATAGTATATGACTTTAATATATTTTTTAATTATACATTAAAATGTTTTATTTGATTAAAAATTACTTCAAAACTATTTAATTTTCTGTCTTATAAATCTTTATTTTTTATTTTATTTTCAACAAAGCGATATCATATGGATTTTAACTTCATACTATTGTGAGTACGATTTAATTTCTAAAAAAGCTCACGTTTTAAAATCTTCAATTCTCAGCCTCTACCGTTTCTCTTTTTAATTATCCATCTAGGGAGAAGAATGTAAAAATGCTTTATAAAAAATGAAGAAAAGTCGACGAACGAGAGTTGACAGCTCGTCGAGTTCGTCGAACCAAATATCCATACCGTAAAATTCGTGTCGTATTGCGCACCACGGAACACCCGTAAAAATAAACACACGACTTCGCTCCGCGAACGGAACGATTTTGCGCTGCGCGCGAGCAACCGCAAGATTTCGCGGTTATTTACGAAGAGACGTTTTGACCTGGGGAGGAAACAGACGACATTTACGATTGAGAGGATCAACGAACGTTCGGCAGGTCCGCTTTCTCGCGGGTGAAAGAAACGTGACATTTCGAGCGTGATGACACCGGAGAGATTCTCGCTTTATCCGCTGTGACTCTTGCTAAAATAAAACGGGATGTTGTAATGTCGCGTTACTTAATGAACACATTTTAGAGTCCTTAGAATTGCGACATCGCGACATCGTAATCGTCAGGGAAAAATTATGATGGAACTTAAGACATGAAGGACCGGTATTTCGGGATACCGCGCGAACGTTCTCTGACATAATTATAAATATAGAACGGGCGCGAGAGATACGTGCTAAATCAACCCTGTAAAACCCGTGAAAACATCTCATTCTGCCTCCACCTCATTTGTCTTCATTTATTTTACCCACATTTGATATATCGGGATGACGCGCTGGCATAGTGAGATATCACAAATGTTTCCTGCTTGGAATAAAATAATCCTTTGAAATAAAATAATATAACATTATTTTCCCGTTTTTACTATATGATTCCTCAGATAAGGTAATTAAATAACGTTAATATCGAAGAGATGATTTATTTAAATTTATTTTCATATTTATAGCATTTTATTGCGATCACTGTTTTTATTATTGTTTTTGTCTTGCAACTCTGCTGCCTTTCCTTCTTTACGTTATCGAGTACATTACACCGAAAAATGTCCCTTTTCATCTATTTTTCCGACGTAACTCCGGAAACAACGGAGAAACGATATTCGGAAGCGGAAGTCATTGGAAGAGGCGAGGAATGAGCACAAAACCTGCCCGTATAATTTTCTTCGCAAACTCGAGCGTGCATCGTTCTTTTTTGATGGACGCGACTTTCATATCTCGTGACTCAAACTTTTCTATTGCACACGGAAATCCTTTTCATCCACGTAAAAATGTCTCGCTAACGGATGTAACGCATTAACAATATTCTTCGCCAGACTTTTACATATTCATGCACTTTTAATGCATGCTTCACAAATTACTATGTTGGACAGCGCTGCAAGTAGTACAAGCAGTAAGTGATAAGAAAATGTATAAAAAAGACTTATTTGTCATACCAATTTTACATTCACTTATCTGCTGTCATTGCATAGCATGTGTAAAAAGATGTATCTTTCTTAGAAATTCAATAATTAGTAAACAAAAATTAAATAACAGTGTGAAATAAACGGTGTGAAATTAAGCGCGATAAATACAAAATTATGTAATGAACTTTTATCACGTAATTTTCTTTAATAACGAGACCAACGAGACCCGCACGTCTCGTAAATTAACGAACTCCATTTTTTCTTTTTTGATAACGAAGAGCTCGTTCAATTTAAAATTTACCCACGGGGCGAATTTACACGCGTTGTGTCGTTATATGCGCAGATGAGATCTCGACGAGCGTGCACACGCAATTGCGTTTTATGGCACGCTTGATTTGCGTGCAAGCCGGTCATCTGTTACAATTACTATTGATAAGCGGCAGCACGTACGCTGCAACTAGTTCGCTATCAACAATTTAGGATTAACAATGTGGGTTACGCGCGTGGAATACCAAATGGATAACCAGATAAGATTCGATCAATAGTTTCTCACATTCTAAAATTTAAAGCATTGAATTATATATCTAACAGATAAAAATGTTAAATAAATTTTGAGCGAGACGCGGTAAACGTGGAAACGATCGAAGCTGCGCAAACAAACCAATCGGAGATAGAACGCTGTTTGATATTCGTCATGAATAATAGAAAAGACGCAGTATTCCGTTTCGCTTCGCTTAAATAATACAACGTATCGAGTTTGGTTTCCAAGAAACACAAACCAATATTTCAATCAATGGTACATTCAAAATAAACACCAATATTCGCGAAAGATTCAACGAATCGGTCAAGGTTGTTGCAAGTTCACGATTCCGAACTCCTTCATATATTTAATGCTATTAAAGTAGCTCTCTACATTTGTTATCCAAGACGCGAAGTTATTGCACGTCTTTATACATACATGCAACTTTATGTAGCACGAGAGAAATTATTTTTCTTTCAGCAAGCACACACAAAAGAAAAACGTCTTACGATTTTTCAGAAGCTTGAAAATACTGAAATCTTCTTTGTGTGAAGCACCGAAATCTTCTAAAATATGAATATATGAATTGTTGTGAGTCTTTACATACACATTGCAACAATTTTTTAAGAATAATAGAATTTCACGTCATATCGTTCGCCAATGACGAATTCAAAGAGATCTAAAACGATGCGCACAGAGTTGAATTAATGCTCCTCTCACGCGACAAGTTTACTCGCGAGGCGCAGTTTACAACTCTCTCGGGGGTTGTGCGCGTTCGGGCACAGGCATAAATTTCGTTATTGGAAAAAAGAAATCCTCCGTGACTTACGCTGATTGGCTACCGAGGCCGTCGTTTATTATCTCGAGGAACGGCTGGATGTAACGCGCACTCCGTAGCCACGACTGCCGCGAGTCGATGGCCCAGGGCGACCTCATCGATCAGGGTGTAATTATCGACTTCTATCGCGGTAGGAGGTCCAGAATCCGGCGTAGTAGAATTCCGCGAGTCTCTATTCGCGAAGGAGCACGTTTCGCCGAGCCTTTGTTACCGGAGTTGCGGTCTCGTATTCCCTAACGAAATCGTAACTTCTTGTATTTTCATTTATGCGCCGTGTAACGCGATAAGTCTCCCTGTTGCGAGATATAAAAGCGAGAAACATCGCAATTATCCGGCGTTATTTACAACGTGCTATTAAATGTTTAATCTCACGTTGCATAAATCAGTAATAAATATCGGGCTCGATCAGTGATCGAAAATTTGTAATAAGGGCAATTTTTATTAAAGAGCTTTCTATCTTTTATTTATACTTAATTAAATAATTATACTTTATCTTTGTATGTGTGACGTGCTTGACAGGAAAACATAAAAAATTTGTGATAAAATAGTTCCGTTTTCTTATCGTTCAGTTTGTCGTGGCTGAGACAGCAGCAATTGAAACTCGCCGCTAGGAGAGATGAAAGGAGCCCCGGCAAGCTCTGGCGACAAGAGACCGGAAACCGTGTGATCGGCGAGCTCAGGAGCTTGCAGAGAGGAAGATTGAGACACGACGGTTACGCGAGCGACTCGGCAGTTCTCGACGATGATGACGATGTGTGGGGAGCGAGTTCTGTTTCCGGACAGGTAAGAAATCATCGGAGATTGTTGGCTAGATATCGATTTAAAAAACTTATTCTAGTAATAAAAAATAATTAAATGTTTTTCATGTAAAGTAAAAAAAGAAAAGGTAGCAATATATTGTTCGCAATACTCGATATAATACGTAGAGACTTGTTTTTGGTAAAATTGTTAATCCTAGAATGCAAGTATGACACAGCAGATATTGGAGAACCATATTTAACAAAAGATTAATGTTTCTCGTTTGGGCCATTTCCCATATTAAGCTCCTGTATTTATGTAGTATCTGAAACTTCGCCTGTACAAATATGATTTATAACTTTCTCTCGCAACTTACTAATATAACAAAAGCCGCCTATGATTCAGCAGACGCAATATTTACTAACGCAAAAGACTAAGCGCGCATTCTGGGATTAACTTTGTTGACATTCACCGTTTATCGATTAGCCGTCGTCGAGAGCTGTTCCGTACACCTCCGCACCAGCTAGTCCTCTACTTCCGCAGAGATCGAGCAGCCGGAAGTATAACGGCAATGCCGGAAACGGTGTTCTCGGCAGGCCACGAGCGGAGAGCATGAACGAACGGCCGTTCGTTTCTGTGAAGCGTGCTTACGAATATCGCAAGTACAACGACAGTCAGGTGAGTACGCAGTGTGCATTTAAGCGTGTTCCATGCATTTTTTGCTCATTTAGATTGCTGGAATCATGCGCGCCGTCGTTTCGAATATTTAAATTGCAATAATTACGCAGGTTTCTATGATTCTGTTACATTTTTTTATAAGGAACCGGCAAGTAATTGTATATGTAAGTAAATCGATATGACGACCAGAAATTCAAATAAAAAATACCGTAGATAAAAATCAGAATTTATTTTAGCAGTATTTTGCGATCAGTTTTCAGTAAATTTAATATTTCTTGGATATTAAAAAATTCACGGTTGTTACAAAAACTAATTGATAAGTTGAATTGGCCGACGAGTAAGGATAATATTGGGCGAAATAAATAGTTATTCGTATGGAGTTCGGAACGGTGGTACGGCCGACCACGCTTTACGCCAATAAGACGGCAGCACGAACGCTACAATTTAGGCTCCATAGATAACAAGCTAGGTAAACTCCTCCAACAACGCTATACCTTATAGAAATACCGTATAGTTAGACCCTAAATGGCTAGAAACGGCCTCTCTAAAAGGTAGACCGTAAGGCGATTACCTATCCGAGATAGAAATCCCCCTTGATCCTTTTTCGTGCTATACTTTCGATGCATTTACGAGAAAAGGAACCAGAATAAAGGATCCGACACATTACTAACTTAACTGTTTAAGTACTGTATAATTTCTTTTTAAGTTTTAATACATTTTAATAGCGAACATTTATTTTTGCTTAACGCGTAATATTCATTATATTATCAATATTCGATAAATATTAAAAGGTTTTGCTTCTATTATTAATACATCATTATCATAAAAATAATACATCATTATGTACATCACAAGGATTTACAAAAAAAAAAGTGAACTGCATAATAACATATTTGTCACGAATTACGAATTTAATTATTTATTATATTAATTTCGTGTTCTCGTTATGTATGCTTTCGCCATTTTAATTAAAAGTATTTAATACGGGGCAGCGTAGCATTATCGAAAGAATCATTCTCTTTATCGTTATCGCTCAACGTGAACAATTTCCAGCTGACGCGGCAGCTGCATTACGACTACGCCGCGTTAACGCGCGCGCCATTAATTAGCCCGCGCAATTAATTAACAACGATTTGGGCTTAAAGCCTCGCTAGCGCGGGTAATCGAGGGCATAGCACCGAAAGGATTAAACGCTCTTAGTTCGCCGGCATGTAGCATAGCGCTTGGCTTGCATTCCAGAGCCCTCCGACATCCCCCCGCTCAGCCTTAGCGGCCGCGCCACCCTTAGGGTTCGCGGCGAGCCAGCAATTGAGTTCCAGCAACGCCGAAAGACCGCAGCAACAACAACAACATCAGCAACATCAGCAACATCAGCAACAACCGCCGCGACCGGAGTCGCGGAGCGACAGTTTCGCACGCGCGGACGCATTGCTGCGCGAGCATCGCCATCATCAGTTGCAACCCGGTGTCATCAATAGCGTCGGCAACGACCACGCCGAGCGGAAGCAGACGATCTCGATTCAGGAATACGTGACACCTAGTCGAAACGCGCGGCCCGAGTCGAGGAATCGCGTCGCTTATCAGAGCGTCGGAAGTTACAGTTCGGCCAGCAGCAACGACCAGACGGACGGCGGTTTATTAGCGGTGGTCGATCAGCCTGACCCTCTCGTGAGCCTCATTCAGTCTCTAGCTGAGATCTCGCCGATTCGCGCATCCCCGAGCATGACAAAACCCGAGAACGAGCATCATCCCGCCGGCAGCAACGCGATAGCAGCCGCTGCGATATCTGCCAGTGTGCCTAGCAACAATGTCACTAATTGCTCCCCTAACCAGTCACCAAAAGCATGGCAGAATTGCACCCAGGTTTGTCGCCCCTTCACGCAAAACCCCGCGGGTCCACGCGCGTAGTAATCATTTCATAACATGCACTTGCCTCAGTTTTCTTTATGCGTGTTGCTGATGCATTAGTCGCTAATTAAAAATTCCAACATTAGTACTCGGTATTCCAAGCTTGTCCAGCACGCCTCGCTTGACTGGTAGCGCGTAGACTGATGTAGAAAACGGCGAATGTGCGCGCCCACTAATCGGTCTCTTGTCACTTCGTTACGCCCCGTCTCTCCACCGAGTGTCCTCTCTCTCCGGATGTGTAATTATAATAATCGTCTCGAATTTTACATAGCCGCACAATGACTCGGCGTCATCGTGGACCGAGAGAAGCGTCAGTCCTGGAAGCGCGGTGGTCAGCGGCGTCTCGCGACCGCAGACACCGGCGTTTCCGGTTCACCCACGGACGCCGTACGTCAATAACGCATCGCCGACGGTGACGTTCGCCAGCGATCGCACTTACGTGACATCCAACAACAGCTACAATGTCAGCAACAACAACAACAACGAGGCTGGCGGAAACAATAACAATAATATCGGGAACTACGGCGCCGAACGAACGATATATATCGAAGAACGAAGGGAAGCCTCGAAGGAGACGGGGCTTCCACCCAAGAGTCCGACAACACAGCGGTAAGTTTTACTCCCCGCTTCAATACAATATTTCCATTTTGAACACATAATAAAATTGGACGTTGAAAATTTTTCAGGATTTTTATGCGGCACTGAAACATTTTATTCTAATAGCCTACATGTGTATAAGATCAATATAGACTTATCAGATATTACACTGCTAATCCAAGTGTATTATTTTTACGTAAACGTGTAAAAATGACACATTAGACTGAAGCTCTCTTTTTACATGTTTCTTTATGTATTAAATTACGTCATTTAACACGTTAAATCGTATTAAATTAAAAGTTAATACGTTCAATCCTGTTGAAATAGAAACTTTCTACTTTGTGACGTTAGATATTAAAATTTTCATCTCGAATTTTGATGGGAACATCACAGACCTAGAATATTGTTCATTGGCGGTACTGGACATTTTATAAATTTTATAAAAATATTTTATACCAAGCCACGCGTAATGTGACGTAAAAGATTTCCCTTGAACACGATGAGCGATCGCAAAATGACGGTGATGATGACGAAGAATGATATTCGTGATTCTAGACGCTTGAGTTTCCCGGCAAGCGGGCCGCTTAAACAAACGCATAACAAACGATGGCCGCTCACTAACCAATCGGCGTCGTTCGACTATAGGTAATATATACACGAAGAATCGCGCGAGCGAGTGATCGTAATTGAATATGCAATTAACGGCTTTAGAATTAATCACAGCGATGGAGAGCGTCGCGCGTCCATATGTGCACCATGAATGTTTTGTGTCATGTTACTAATCGCGCGCGTCGATACGCCCGGAATGCAATCCTACATCATATCATAGATAATAAATTACTTATCACACGATATTACGTAAATTGAAATCACTTCCACGCTGGACTTTTTTTTTCTTTATGTCTTTTAATTCGAATAACATTGGTTTTATGTAATTTCACGATCTTTTTACTTGCATCTTTGGTGTTTATCGTTGTTACGAGTTATAAACGTTTATTACGGATTGTTCAAAAGCTATTATTTAATTCGTGTCCACGCAGTTGTAATAAGAAAAGTTTAGCATACATGATGGTATCATAAATCGCGGCCATGTATGCCGGCCATATGTGTGTTGCACCTTCGAACTAACAAGAAACTCGCGCTTACTTGCATCGTGTGTCATAGAAACTTCTCACAGAGCAAGTATATATGTTATATCGTCGAAATAAACTTTGTTATTGAAGAACCAAAGTAACATTTCCATCATCCTCACTGAGAATTCCTCGGGGAAAAAAAAATTCTTTTCTATCCATCCTTCTCTTCCCGCTTCTCGCTAGAGACGTTCGTCCCGTTTAACTTATTGTTAACTTTATTGTTAGAGGCACTTCTTTCGCCTCCAAAATTCTCTTCCACGATGTGTATCACCCTTTTCCGGTATTTCCCTCGCGATGTATAGCACTGTGCACGAGTCAACCGACACACATCTACCTGCACGGAAATGTCGGGGTACATTTTCGCGGAATATCTCCTAACGTTCGATTGCTTCTTTTACAGTAAGGACCGACCTGTTTCTCCTGTAAGCGAATCGACGATGTCGCAGCCGCAGGCTGTTTCGCGCAGTCCTGGTACACCGACCCACGTAGAATTCGCCCAAAGCCCCAAGGTAAGCATCACAATATTACCTTACGTTCATATTATCATTGTTATTTCAATCCCATCACGATAACAGAATAACGGAAATGTATTTAATATAAGCTTTAATTATATTAAAATTTTATTTAAACTTTTAATTTAAAACAATATGATTTTTAAAGATTGGATTGAGATTTTTCCGTTGAGAAACAATTTGGAAATGGATATTTACGATTGAAATAGAATATCTATTAGAAATTATATATGCTGGTAGCTTTTCATGTTGATATATTATCTTGGTATATGGATATAGGGAAATATAGTTTCGTAACAGAACAATAATTCTTGTTTTGGATTTTACAGAGCGCTACATCATACACATCGATCAACAGTGGTGGTCAGTCGTCGCCGCAAGTTCAATATTATAGCTCGAGACGCTCCAGCGTTCACTCCAACACCGAGCCCCAGGAGGTAGCTGACGCTAATGTAAAATTCGTACGCGACACCAGCAGAATCTGGTACAAACCCAATATATCGCGGGAGCAAGGTAATTTTTAAATCTGAAATCACTTTTATCTATTTTTTATCAAATGAATTTTTTATTTACCGTAATAAATGGAAATTATCGTAATAGCTGGAAAAAGAAATATTACTTTAAATGTATAATTTTATAAATACGATTGAATGTAACATAAACAATAATTCTTTAATTATTCAACTTTATTCATAAATGTTTTATTTAATCTCTTGTACAATGCTTGAAAAAATTACGATCGAATAGCGCGAGAAATATATAAGCTAATATCATGAAACTTTTTTTTAGCAATCTCGATGCTGAAGGATGCGACACCCGGCACATTCGTGGTGCGAGACAGCAACTCGTTCCCGGGTGCCTTCGGTCTGGCATTGAAAGTAGCTACGCCACCTCCTGGTGCGCCTAGTAGCCCACGAGATCCTTCGAGCGAGCTTGTCAGGCACTTCTTGATCGAGCCAACATCGCGCGGCGTCAGACTAAAGGGATGCGCGAACGAACCTGTCTTCAGCTCACTTTCGGCACTGGTTTACCAGCACAGTTTGATGGCTATGGCGTTACCTTGTCAGCTGCTGCTACCCGAGCCGGAAGCAGCCGCCAGAGCTCTAGACTCACCTGGTACCAATAGCACTCAGCAGCTTCTCGCTCAAGGAGCAGGTAATTAATTTATCACATTTTCGCGTTAATTGACACAAAAGACACGATAAAAAGAGAATTTCAAGAATATCTTACGGTTAAATAAGATCTGAAATTAAGGTCTGAAATTCTTAAATATTATATTTGATCTATTTAAAGTAGGTTAGATTAACTATGCAACAAGAAGAATCTTGAATTTAATTATTACTAAATTTACACATTTTAGATATTTTAAATTTTTAGTAATTTTATTTATGAGCATCTTTCGATTTACTAAAAAGAGGAAAATTGTTTTCTAAGTATTTTAAATTTGTTTTTTACAGCTTGTAACGTTTTGTATCTCTTTACAATTGACACGGAGTCTTTGACTGGACCACAGGCCATCAAGAAAGCTATCACCAATCTATTCGAGCAAAAACCTTTGCCGATCGCCACAATTGTTCACTTCAAAGTCTCCACGCAGGGCATTACTTTGACTGACAATGCAAGAAAGCTATTTTTCCGTCGACATTATCCCACAAATAACATAAGTTATTGCGGATTGGACACTGAAGAACGCACATGGGAATTCACCAGCGAAGATACTGGAAGACCACTTAGCGCTCAGTATGTTTTCAAATTTAAGTAAAATTCTTTTGAATTGAGAAATAAAATTATACTAAAATAAATAAATTATACTAACAAAATTATTTAAATTTTTTATGATTTAGATTATAATATAATGATTGAAAAATTTTATTTTATTATATTTTTACTGTTAAATATTAAAGGATAAAATTTAAATCAATATCTTGAGTCAAATAACAATTTGTTATTTTTACCATGTGTATCAAATTATTTGAACACAAAACAGTATTATTTTAACTTTATTTAACTTTAGTTTAGTTAAATTAACGACTTATTGAGTAGGAGCAGTGGCGGTCTATAAGAATGATTAAAAATTATTCAAATTGAGTATAATTTGACATTATGAATTTGACAGTGTATTTTATAATTTTATAAATATATGTAAAACAGAAAATTATAATTCTAAATCTTTCAAAAATTGCGATAAATTATTTTAAGCATTGAAAAAATTCGATGATTTTATTATTTACCTTGAATTAAATTAATTTGTTTATCACTTCTCTTTTCAGTCGTTGTTTCGGCTTCGTGGCAAGGAAACCCGCTCATAAATCGGACAATCAGTGCCACGTGTTCGCCGAATTGGAACCAGAGCAACCTGCAACGGCAATCGTAAATTTCGTGAATAAAGTCATGATGGGAAGCTCCATCGCCAAGGCCAACATTGTTTAAGAATTGCTACTCGCTCGCCAAAATCGCCAAGATTAACGGGCACAAACATCATTGCGAATTCGTTAACGGTTTCACCGTTTACGGTTGATACCGATCACATATCTTTAGCGCAAAAAAATGCAAAGTCCAATTAAGGGAAAAGCGACTGAGAAGTTGGGGATAACGGGACGAATGATCGATATAATCGATTAATGAAATTGTTATTCCGCTGACACGCGCGGAGGATCTTTCTAAAGGATTCGCTGAAAAATCCTTGCACGAATTAATCATTATCATTAACCGACTACTCGTAATAAGTCTTCGTGCATTTCGTAGCGTTGAATCAATAGAACATTCATGTTACAAAACAGTAGGGACGATACAATTATCGATAACGCTGGGAAGAAGTCGAGGATCGCTCTCTTTGGAAGAGAACGAGAAGAACGAGAGGCGATACGTGAATCGATTCCATCCTCGCGTCAATATGCAGTCAAGATAAGAAAGTTGTTGTTATGATTATCGTTACCGTTGTGATTTAACGTAGCGAATAGTAAAGATATAATGGATGGTCAAAAAGGGTAAGGTGGTCAAAATGACTGCATTGGAAAAATTTGGTATTATGTAATAAAGTAATTTGATTTTATTTAAAAAAATTATAAAAGTATGACTGTTCTGCGTTCTTATTAATAACAAGAATAATTACAATTCAGCACATACTATTTACAATTTAACAATTATTGAAGTATTTTTCAAATTTCCAAATGTGTTTCGCTGAAATATATTTAAATAATGTCGCTCTCTTCTCTCTCTTCGTGTGATTTAACACTTTTTGCAAGTTTTTTTTGCGGAATTTTAAAGTTCATGATTTCGCCACCTTCCCCCACTTATGATACGATCGATCAGCCGCACGCAAACTTACCGATAGCTCGTAGTCATAGTTGAACAGAATCAACCGTGCTCTTCGCGTGATCTACGAAGAGCATCGAACATTCGAAACGAGCGTATCTCGCGCGACACTGAGTGCGCTTTCGATTTCGGAAAGCATCTATACATTGCGCACGTATAAATATGCATACATTTACATATGCATAACATTGTTACACATACCACATACACGTAACTATCACACGAATGATAACAAAACCTGTGCTCGCGCTTTGATAACAGTATTAACTACATGATTTAATCTTCAAGCAACATTTTTTAATTCCGTTTTATTAAAAAAAAATGTTATATTACAGAATTAAGAGTAAAATAAAAAAATTTATAGAAATTGCATAATTATAAAATAATCGGAATCTATCATTACATTTTAATTTTTTATTTGAGAACTTTTGTTTTTAAAGAAACATTCCATATAATATTTAAATAACGAATAGGCCGTTAAATATTGCGCGAGCACATATAAATTCATATATTATCATGTTATACTTGAGACTCTCGAGTAATGTTTGACAGAGAATGTTACGTCGTTTGCAGAGTATATATTATACATATACACACGTACACGTACATAATAAAATTCCCGTGTCATGCTCCCTCGATGTATGAAAGAATGATGTTATAAATAACTGTAAATACACCACGAGACAATGTCGCCTTAAAAGAAGGAGACACCTTGTGAGAAACCGTCGCAAGATGAATGACAGTCCGCGACTTATGGAAGAAGCAATGCTTCAGGATCAGCTCGAAAGTCACGCAGGTTGGGATGAATAATGCTACTTGAGGAGTATGCACGTAACAAGGCAGTATCGCGCGTATTCTTTCGGTGAAACCCATAGAATTCTTGCCATTTCGGGCTCGTGTGCCGTCGAGAGCGCTCACTCTCGCAGAGTACGTCTCGACGGGCACGACGATGAGCAGTCAATTATTACGATCGAATCGATTATATTGTAATTCGACAATATGACGACGCGAGGGGACCGCCGCCGGTGTGTGCAGCAGCTGGGCTTTCTCTCGACGTCGTCGACTTCTTCGTCTACTTTCGCGGTCCCTTCTACTTTTGTCTTCCGAACGAAGGTCGGTTGAAGCTCCGGCGTTTCCTCTCTGCGAATTCCTCTACGATCGAGAGAGGGAGGATCCGTAGTTACGCAATGTGCTAGTCAAAATTCGTACTGTATATTCGATGATCAAGAAATAGGTTTACAGTGACCTTGGAAACCCTTTTCGGGTATTATATGCCCTTCGATGGCGGCAAGCGCGAGGTATATCACTTCGCGCTAAGACTAGATGTAAAGTGAGTGTAATGTGTTTTTGTCTTGTGGATGATGGGCTCGAAACGACAACCTCGAAAACACGTAGAGACGATTGGGTGCCGCTGAAAGGATTAAGGGCCCGCTTGAGAGAACCGACCGCGTCTTCTTTTGCGTTCTTTCTTCTCTTCATCGTCCGTCTGCCCTTTCTTCTCCGTCTAGATTTCCTTTCGTACGCGCCCGAACCCGACTAACAGCGTAACATTAATTTAACATTCAGTCATTATAATAATTATTATTAATATTATTATACTTGTTTATGTTCTATTATACTCTGTGTACGTTTGCCCAATAATTGTACTATTGCGTGCCGCATGGGTACGCGCGTATAGTTGTAACAACAATAAATCATATTCACAGCGTGTTTTGATTTTAATATCTACTCTGATGTTTTAAGCCGCTCCTACAGATGCACAGAAAAAAAAGAAATGTCAAATCAAAACTTATATTCAAATTAACGCGTCATTGTTTCGTATATACGCAACAATCTATAAATTCTTATAAGAATTTTAACTTTTTTCTTCTTTATTGAACTATATAAATGACTTCATTCAACAAGTTATTTCAAGATTTCTACGTTGAAACTAAAGATATTTATAAATCAAGAATGTTGTTTTTTTTTGTGTACATATACAATTTACGTCAACTTTAATTATAAAGTAATAAGGAGTTATCAACTTATCACGTTGTACTTCAGGAAAAGTTTAATCTCGATTTTTATAAATCTTATCGTTTTGTAATAAATTTTATTATTTTCTTTTAACGACTTATCTAGTGAATCATTATGAAGTAATTCACAATAATTCATTATTTGTATATATTTCTTATCAATTATTATCGAGGTGTGAAAAACAGAAGAACTCCATATATTATATAGAAAGAAGTTAACTTTCTAATAAATAATAATATAATGTGCGTAATACTTTTCACACGTGCTCAGATGTTTAAACTTTAAACAGATTGTTTTAACTAGAGTAATTGCATAAAGCCATTACGTATATAAAGTAGTGGATTTAATACATATAGTTACGGTTGTTTGAACACTGATATCGTGAAAACGTGTTTTGCTAACGGCAAACTTACTGACCTACTACTCATCTCGCCATACCAAACAAATTCACCGGAATACGCATAGTTTGAAAGTTTTTCCTTATATTGTTCTATTATTTTGTTAATTGTTAATAAAAAGATTTAAAAAAATTTTTTTTCTTTACATTAAATGCAAAAAACCAAAATTAAATGATACGGTCTATACAAACTTTGAAAATAAAGTAATGAAAATTATTTTTTAGAAAATAAAAAAGATTGACATTAATTTTAAATAGATTAATTTGAATTTGTAGCTTACATTATATACAAATCACTGTTATTTTATCAAATGTCTATTAAATTTGAAGTCTTTTCCTTTCGAAAGACCAATAATTAATACCAAAATAATGACACATAATACACGTTGAACATCAATTGAATGTCAGTTAATTACTATATACTTTTTCACTGCTACCGCAAACCGCAACGTTATCAGAATCTATACGTTATATTGAATGATCAATCAAGCCGAATCAATGGAAATCACCGTAAGTCGACGTTCATAGATGTAATCGACCTCTCAAACGCTTGACGCGCTTCGAATATCCCATCCATTAACCCCGAGGCCTCCGATCCGCTGCATGATTGAAGAACGAACGTCATCCACAGCGACCACAGCGCAGAAATGAAATCCCGTAATCCAAGCCCGTGAGGCAGAACAGTGAAACCGTCGTGTTTCACATGCCCGTATGAACCAGCAACGTAGCAACTGGTTCCGGGTGCGGAGTGCCGGTTTGCCAGTCAACGAGGAACCTTCGAGACGATCGAGCATTATCCTGGCGCGATCGAAGCACACCATGTGTGCCGGCGTCGAGTCGATCTTGTGCGTGATCCTCGGGGTTTCGGGAATCCTCATGTCGCATTTGGCGAACAGCAATCCGTATCGCGGTAATTACACGGTGACACGTTCACAATATGACCGCTCGGAGAACAAGATATTCAAGGAAAATAAAGTTCTGGATGAGGAAAGTGGGTTGGTGTCGTTAATGAATGATCAAGAATTTGAGTAAAGTTGTTAATTGAGTTAGTTTTTATAATATTTTAAGAAAAGATTTTCAAAGACTAAGTCCCAGTCTACAATAAGTGTTTTAAGCCTTAAGCCCTAAGAAATTGACCAATCACAGTCAATTATTCTCCTCAAATTCAACTGTGATTGAACAATTTCTTAAGGCTTAGGGCTTAAAACACCTATTTGTAGACCGGGACTAACTAGACAGAGATTATTAGAAAAGTCAAACAGTTAAATAAATCGATACTATGTTGTTCTTAAGTGATAAGTGTATTTTAATATGATTTTTGAGAGGTAATTATAACAGGAATTCTGAATAAAAAAAGTTTAAGTTGATATTTATTTAAAAGTTCTCTTTCTGTCTCTCTCTAAAACACTTAAACCTTTTAAAGAGAGAAAGAGAAGGAGAGAATTAAAGTTTATATTAATGTTTATTGAATTTTACAAAAAATTGCAATAAATATTGCAAATTGAAATTAATTATAAGTTCTTACGTAAGAAAATATGTGATTATTGTCATTTTCCATATTTAATTCAATTATTGCAACTTCTATTCATTAATTCTTACATATTGCTATTGCTAAGTAACATTTAAATATGTTAATTAAAATGCGCCTTTTCATTTTCATTCACTACATACGTTTTATCCATTCTAATTTTTTTCTACAGAATTTTTTTCTTATATAGAGCGTTTTTCTAAGAGAGTTTTCCTAAGTCCCGATCTACAATAGATATTTTAAGCCTTAAAGCCTTAAGAAATTGTTTAATCACAGTTGTATTTGTGGAGAATAATTGACTGTGATTGGTTAATTTCTTAGGGTAGATGGGGACTAACAGAAAGTAGATCATAAGTATGTTAATTATGAAGAAATGGGAATATTGTGTTGTTTTGCTGAAGTAATTAATGGTGAAACTACAATGCGTTTTTTACGCGATCACGCTAATGCGAATAGCGCTCTTGGCAGTCAGAAAACACGTGGCACGAACGTCAAGACGCCGTTAAGCATTTTTGTAAATCTTCATAAATTCAAAGTATTCTTATAATATTTGGAATTTATTATAATATTCATAATAAACACAATAATTATTTTTAAATTATAAAACTTAAAAACTTTTTAACTTTACATTTACAAAGATTTACAAAGTGATATTATATGTTTTTTTTGTAATTTAAACAATGCCTCGAAATATTTTAACATAATTAATATAAAAAACATTAAAGAATACTTCTTACAGCATAAAAAGTTAGAAGTAATAATCGACATATAGTTTGCAGAATGCCCATAACGATCGAGAAATGCACCTGTGTTTGAATTCCAAAGGCAGAGAAGAAGAAAGAATCGTATTCGCTGAAGCAAATAATCAGCTTCAAAACACGCCCAGAGAGTTGTCTGGGAGTGATGATGATGATGATGATGCTGATGATTACAGAGGTTTTTCTCTATTTGGCCTCGTTGAATCCATGCTGTCCGTCGTAGCGAGCGGGCTCAGCACAGTCGTGAACAGTATCGTCGGTACCGAGAAGAAGGATTCACGGTCACGTACCAGCAGAATAAATTATAGAAATTATCATTTAATCAGGGCGTTTCCTAACACGGAAAGTCAAGCTGCGGATCTGCGCGACTTAAGAGACGCCGAACCGGAAGACATTAAATTTTGGTCTTTTCCAAATCCTAACAGGTTTGTATTCATTTCTATTGTAATGATTAATTATTTAATATATGTAATATATTTAATTTCTGTGCTACATTTCTTCTTATAGAACGGCCGACATGATCGTGGCGCCGGATCTCGTAAACGATGTTAAGGAGTATTTGAGAGATAAGAAGATTGACTTCAAAGTATTAATCTCTGACATCCAGGTAAAAATAAAAATATATTTTATAACCTTGATGTACATTAATATTAAATCGTACTGAACTTTAAAAAATGCATGGAATTAAAAAAAAAATTAATTTCTGTGTTAATAAGAGTATTATATATAGATAACTAATATTATTAATAATTGAAAATACTCACTTGACATTTTAACATGGTTGAATAATTTGTACATAACTGGTATCTCATTATCTGCAAGAAACATTAGAGGAACAGTGACAGCTGATGTCCATATCTAACACTGACACGCTTTACTTATGGTCTTTTCAATATTTCTTATGGCACAGAGATACAAAAGTAACATGACAGTAGCGAATAAATCATCATTTATTACATTAAAATGATGGATCAAAGGTTTTCGTTACTGCATATATTAATCGTTATTTATGCATCCTATTGACTGATATAGTCACTAATATATTAGAAATGGAATGAGAAATCTCGCTGATTGTCTGCGTGATTAATTGACGCAATTAAAACGCGACTCTGAATTAAGTGTAGTTGGTAAAAGTCAACTTTCTTTTTTTGATTGACAGAAAACGATCTCTTATCAAAATCCGAAGATGTCCAAAGAACAGCGCGAGGACTTGGTCACCACTCAAGGCCACACGATGACATGGAAACGTTATCACCGATACGCAGGTAAAATCGCATGTTGCAAGATATTT